GAGCTATTGCAACATCGAGTAGATACATTTAACGAGATTAGAGAATTGGGTCTCCCTTTGAAAGAATTATTACAGGCTAATATCTCACCGATATTAAAATCTGATAAGGACCCAACTACTCTGGTTAATTACCGGCCTATATCTGTTATAAACTCAGATATTAAAATTTATTCTGCTGTCATTGCAAATAGACTAAAATCAATTATTCCATCTTTAATTCATCACAACTAAAAAGGTTTTGTTCAGAATAGAGATCCAAGTAACAACACTCGAAGATTGACTGCCCTGATTGATTATGTAACAAGGAGCAAGATCCCTATGCTGGCCCTGTCACTGGATGCTGAGAAGATGTTTGACAGGGTCAGCTGGAGTTTTATGAACCAGACTCTGGACAAATTTGGATTTGTTGGCTCAATTAAAACTGCAATAATGGCTCTTTATTCTAGTCCAATGGCTAAAACCGTGGGCCCTGGCATCTCCGCAGTTTGGTTTACAATTTCTAACGGGACCAGGCAGGGATGTCCCCTGGCCCCGCTTTTATATATTTTGACTCTTGAACCGCTCGCAGTGAGCATAAGAAACAACTATCAAATTAAGGGAGTTATTCTGAATCATTCTGAATTTAAGATCAGCCTATATGCTGATGACATAATATTAACATTGTCTGATCTGGATATATCACTAGGGGCCTTGTTTCGGGAGTTGTAAGACTATGGTAGAGTTTCAAACTATAAATTAAATATTGGTAAATCCCAAGTTATGACCATCAATTTAGATTTTACGACAATTAATAGATTATCAGTTAAATATCCCTTCACTTGGTCATCGCAAGGTTTTAAATATCTTGGGATTCATTTCTCTTATAGCTTAAAAGAAATGATCGATAAAAACGTGGATAATCTTATAAAGGATACCAGTGATAAATTACTCAAAGAGTGGAGAAACATAGGAATTTCCTGGTTGGTTAGAATAAATATCATCAAATACATGTAATGAAAAAGTCCAGAAAGGGTGGCCTGGCTGTCCGAAATCTTATCAAATATTACGAAGCCTCTAGGCTGTACCATCTGTGGAGATGGCATGGCCCAACCACAATAGAAGAGCCTTGGTATAAAATTGAATCCTTTCTGTGTAATTCAAAAGATCTTTCTAATATGTTATGGATTGACATTGGGGCTAGTGCAAAATTCATTTACAACATAGTAACTTCATACATAAAAAATATCTATGAAATTTGGGTAAAATACAGGAAAGAAATCACATTTTAAATAAAATTTCTAAGTATATTCAAATTAAGACAATGGAATATAATATTAATGACCTAAATTCAGGGAATTGGATCAAATTAGGTTTAACTAAAATAGATGATTTATTAGAATTGAATAAAATAAGGTCTTTTTCATATCTTCAGTTAAGTCTTGACCTTACTTCAAGAGAGTTATGCTCATACCTAAGAATCAAAAATTATTTGGATAACCATCTGCTTTATGACAACACTACGATAAATAAAAAATTAAATGATCTATTTAAAAATAATACTAATCATAAATCGATATCTAGTTGGTATGGAATATGGAGAGAGGAAGAAAAAAAGTCTAAACCAAAAGCCTGGAAAAACTGGGAACAAGAAAGTGGGTCTCCAATCGAGTTAGAGCAGTGGTATAGATCAATTCAAGAAGTTAAAAGATTGTTGCATTGTTTAAATATCATACAGCTCCATTATAAAATTCTTCATCAATGGCATAGGATACCAAAAATTCTAAATAGAATCAACCCTGATAATTCCAAACTTTGTTGGAGGTGTACTTGTGCTGAAGGTAGCTCTAAACATATCTGGTGGGGATGTAAGCTTTTAAGACCTATATGGAATAAAGCATTTAGAGTTATATCAGATTTAGTGGGAGAAGATTTGGAAGATAACTGAATGGTTGCTCTTTTTCATTTTAATTTAAGAAGATTCTCAACTCAAAATAGATATCTAATAATCAAACTTATGATGGCCATAAAAATATCAAGATATTGGCTACAGAAAAAGACTCCATCTTGGACCCAAGTGCTAACTCAGCTTAAATACCAACACGATATGGAAAGGGGAATATCTTTTCAATATGATAACCTCTTAAAATTTGATGAGAAATGGTTACCTTGGTTAGATAATCTGATATAACTATATACTTTGTTGCGTTCTCTGTTATGAATATCCTTACATATAAAGATCACTCTAGTTCTTCCCTATGGTACTGTATTCAGGAAAGTTATGAAGTAACCTAATTATTATAGTTTAGGCCCGCCTAATCCGCTCAGTCGTTTTAAATTGTGATATTTGTTTTTTTTTGTGTGAAGTTTACTCAACAGTTCATATATCCTTCTATTGTAAATTAAAGTCTATATGTCTAATTCTGAACTGTTTTTATCTGTGATGTTACATATGTAAAATTTGCAAAAAGAATAAAAAAAATATATAAATAAAAAAAATCAAATTTCACAGTCTGATCTCAGCTACAGCAAAGTAATTTTACGCAGGCACTGTAGGAGAATGTTTTCGAAAATGTGGCCTGCTGTCAATTTGTTATGTAGGACTGAGCACCAGGAGGAAATGGATAAGAACGATTTTATGAACGGGGAAATGTAGGGGAGGATAAAGGGAAATAAAAGATATAAACTTTCTAAATTAGCTGAATTTGTAAGTTATCTAAATGCTATTTACAAGACAGTCTTGCCTATTTGTCAGTAGTAGGTCAGTTAGGTTTTGGGCACAAATGTTAATCTAAAAATGAAGCTAGTACTTACCTGTAATCCAGCATTGAGATGGCATTGGGAGGCAGGGTGCATGCGCCATAGTGCTGCACTAGGCAACCAATGCTTCTCATAGAGAAGCCTCAAATACATTGTGAGAAAGCGCTCTAACTGTGTAAAGAAGAGTACATCCTGGGTGACAGCTTGGATAGTGCAAGAGCTTTTTATAACATTATTAAAGTAAGACTGAGGGTAGAGACTGTTCACCAGTAATTAACTTCACAAAAAAAACAAGCACTTTTGGCATTTCAAAGTATATCTGCAGTACACAAATTATTACTGTATACATTTGAATTGTAATTCTGTAAGCACAATGAACAGATATAATTTCCTTCCCCTATAAACTGTATCTTACATTTGTTTATAAATCAAAACAATTGTATGTCAATCCATAGAGGGCTAGCTTACACAGTGTAGTTGCTGTGAGTATTAAACTATCAAGCACATCTTGTGCTCTGATAGGATAGTAGAATTTAAGCATACAATGATAGATGTCACTCAGTTCTAATGTGATGAAACTGGGGTAAGCTTGGAAGGAACATTTATGTTATACCCATCAATGCTGCATTACAGCAGCGTGGAGAGCAAAAAAATTAAATGCAATCAATATAAAGCAATCAATATAAAGTTTATCATATATTCATTATTTAAAAAGCTGTAATCAGTTAAGATGAACCTGTCCTGAAAGTAAGGCTCAAGTCTTCTATAAAAAGGTACCAAGGGAGAAATGTAGATCTCACCATTACCCTTTAGACTAAGTTCTCACTATCTATCTTTACATTTTACGCTATGTTCACTATGTGCCATCATGTTTCTAACCCTAGAATACTGATCAGCACTGTGAAACATGTTGGCGATTTATAAATAAATAATAAAATATTTTAGCAATCTTATGGAGTGCACTGGTTTTAGAGATAAAGTAGGTCATTGATTGATGACTTGGTTTTAAGAATGATTTTTTTGCAAAATGTAAAATAATGCAGGGTGGCACTATGTGGATAATTAACAAAAAAATAATAAAGTCACCTGTGTCACAACCCCCCTAAACAACTATTTTAAATAACAGTTTCTTGAATCACTGTATAGCTGTGAAGTATCAAGTAAAACGTCTTAGGGAATCAGAATTTACTGACTTTATAGACCATGTCAAGCACCATAACCACAACAGTGTGATGTAGTGAGGTTTTGGTGTCAGAAGTGCCCTGTCGTCCCACCATTTAAAAAGACAAACTGTTTGAGAATGGTTTGACTTCATATTTGGTGTCTGCCCCTGCCTCCACTACTTCTGACAGAGAGCTCTCTAGAGTGAAGTCCTGCACTGTTGTGCTTAGCTCAGACAGAGTGTTTTTGTTCTCTGCTGAAAGTAGTGGAGGTGGGGAGCAGCACCCAGCAGACCCCACATTCCATTGGTTTCCAAGGTGCCAGCTCTCCAATGTGTTAGTGTGACACCAAAACAAAACGAATGCGGACATTAAAACATCATTAAGCATTACAGACTTATTTGTGTAGTTATCAATTACATGTATGTAACTTCAAGGCAGCATTCTATTTCTATTGTAATACATGATTTTGGAATAACTAAACATGTAGAACATGTAGCGGAAGATGTATAGCAAGAATAATTTGTGTTCCCTGCAATGCAGCCTGCAGCCACTGTGATACAACGTGAATAAATACACATCCACATGGGATAAACGTCTGTTATCCGCTGTGGTGACTCCAAACAACAGCCAGATCCTGGGGGATTATGTGATGCCCAACACTCGCAATCTAAGATAGACCAAGGCACATCTTTTTCTGCTCAGACGATTACTCAGCTCCCTTTTCTGCTCAGGGCTCCCCTAATAATGGTTTTCTTTCGGCTCTAAGAAGTTCATCTGTGATCGATCCTTACTGCAATCCCCTCCCTGGGTTCTAATCTCAGCCTTTCCATTTTTCCTTATTACAAATCTCAATGTAATAATGAATATGTTAAAAGAAA